ATTTATTCTCATTTTAGAAATATATTTATAAGGGAAAGATACTTGGCCCAACTGGTTGGGCACGCTATGTTAATAATTAGGTGAATTTGATCACTAGACCATTAATTCAATAATCCAAAAGACAGAGTCCAAACAATACCACATACACAAAGTGCTCTTTGTTTCATAATCATACATACTTACTACACCTAAATCATGAGCATTTTCCAAGTAAAAAAAACTGAGAACATTTTTACATATTCTCATTTTATTTTTGGATCATACATGCAACACCCAAATACACACTGGATTTGTACATGAAAACGTACAATAGTTGCTTCATGGTTCCTCAATATGCATGAACTCGATCAGATATTGCCTGGCAGACGACACTTATTTGAGGAACCGTATAAGGTCCGTAGAGCAAACCTTGCGCAATCAACCTATAGGTAGCCTCCGTGAAGTGTAGGCCGTCCCAACTAGCAAACGAGCCCGGGTCATCACAACTCGTTGAAGTGGGAAAGCCGCACAATGCCGACTCGTTGAAATTGTACGGGCCTCCCCCTGCCCCACAGCAAGCCCGAAAAATTCCCTTCGTAAATCCTGCATTCGTAGTTACCACAACGGTTTNTGCTAGTTCAGTTTAGTAGTTGTTTGAGTAAGCTGTTTGGCTGTGTCCTAGTCTGTAAATATTTGTGTTTTATTAATTATAATCTATTGTTTCGAAAAAAAAAAAAAGTTAATTACCGAACTCTTCTGGGGAGAGATAGAAGCGCATTGTGGCTTCGTAATTATTTCCGTAGATTAAGATGACGTGAGGATGAAGGCTCTGAATGCGGCTCAACTCCTGTTTGAGCAGAGTATTGTGGTGCTTTGAGAGCTCGTTTAACCAAACGAGACACCCGGTTTTGGGGTCGTAATCGCTAGAGGCACTTGATTTCTCGAACTGTGTAAGATAAACAGGCAAGCAGCCTATGGGGAAGTTCCCAGGGATTAATATTGTCCTTGCACCATGCTTAATCAGTTCCTGTTAGGAAAAAATGAAATGTTAGTTTCGCTTAGGTCTATGATTGATATTCACCAAAAGAAAAAATAAAATCAGATGTACTTGAATTGTGGATCCAATGTAATCAATAACTGGTGGAACTAATGATTGGATCGTTTCCAAATTTGCCCCTTGCATGATCGGAAGATTGTAATCGTTGCCTCCGATCTCTCCCAAAATAACCAACGATCGTTCAAGGAATTTCCTCCCGTCTGTTGTCGGTAAAAGAGCAGAGTACTTATAGATAATATAATGAAAAATTGATTAATGAAAAAAAATATAAAAGGGGTAAATTTCTATCCAGAGAACTTCATTCAAGTTGTAGTTTCTTTTCACTTATCCGAACTTCTAAACTGAACTGGAACACTTCAAATTACTTTGCTTTAGGAGATTAGTGAAGTCAAACTATATTCAACTTAATACTAATTTGTTGATTTCACTCAAGTCTTAAACTATCCTCATGTGAATGCTTACAATGCTGATTGTGTCAAAAGTTTATCAATTTGGATACCATAAAAGTACAAGTTTTTTAAAATTGAATCTAGAGATTAAAACTAGGTCACCTGGAATTGTAACAAGAAAATGTTTGAACCAATCCAATTGAGTCCCAAGAGACACATTTGTCTCTGTATTATGAATTCCCATTCCCTCGTAAAAGCCTCTATCAAGAGCTGAAGCTCCGGCCACCGCGAAATTCACTCCTCTGCTGAAATTCCGGCCGCCGTTTTCTCCACCGACGTACGGCTGCAAAAGGGGCAGCCCCAAACTCTGAGCTACACACATAAAAACACGACTTTTTTTTAGTAACCTAAAAGCTGAGTTAAAAGATAACTATATACATATACAGCAGTACCAATGAAATCGACAACAAGGCGGCCGTCGGAGTATCTTCCGGTGGGGCGGTGGAAGTAAGTCCGGCCGTAGGGCGGTCGGGAGCACTCTGGCGGGTCGTCGGCGGGCCGGATCCAGATCAGATTACCGGTGTCGGCAAGCGAATCGCCAAAGCTGACAATGGAATCGTAGCATCCGGAAATCGATTCGCCGGCCGCCGTTGACGATGCTAGTAATAAAATTGAGATGATTGAGTATTCAAATGGTACCATTATTTTTCTTTGGCTGATTGAAGGTTGGTGGGAAATGGAGCCCGGGTTAGGTCCTTACGGGTCTATAACTATGGCGGTGATGACGCCGGCGATGGTGGTCGGCGACGGAACCTGACCTGACAGCGGTACGTTTCCGATCTTGTTTTGTAAATATTACGGCCTAGTTGGGAAAATTGATATTTTTTTTGTTGGATTATTTTTGTAAGGTCTCGTTGGTTGGTCTCACTGTAGACAATAGACTATAAAAAAAAGAAAAAGTCCACGTGTATAGATTTGTTTGGTGGCAATTGGTGCACATGTTATCATAATAAATAATACTAGTACGTAACCCGTGCGATGCACGGATGTAAAATTTGGAAGAATTTGGAAGAATAATATAACCTCACGTGCATTAGGATCAAAATTGAAATCATTAAAATACATAGGAACATTGTTGAATCATAAAAAGTTCGGCAACAATCATATATTATTAAAACCCTCCTTGTACACAACATTATGAGTTTGATTATTTGGTAACTCCTCATTATCACAAACTAATATTTTCAAAAGAGACAAATCCTAAAAATCGAACTAATATTTTTGGTGAACAAACTAATATTTTAGGATTTGTTATATGAATAAGGCTATCTGGTTTTGGTGTTATTTTCATTCATTTTCATTCAAACAATCCGATGACTTGTATAATGAAATTCGAATCTTAAGCCGAAATATTTAAAAAAAGGGTTTTTAAAAATTGAAAAGTCAAGGCAATCAGTTTAGATTAATTAAAGGTAAAAAAATATCCGCTCTTTGAAATAAAGACGTGTGCTATCATTAACTAAATAGCCGGGACGCTTCATGGAAATATCAATGGGATAAGGTCATAGCAGATCGCTATACATTTTAACGATAAAAGCTCAGATGGAATGATTTATGATAATTATGTGGTAATTAATGAATTAATTAGATGTATGAAAATGACATAATTAATGAGAAGTGTGAAAATGACATAATTAATGAGAAGTGTGAAAAAGACATAATTAATGAGAAGTGTGAAAAGGACAAAAACTTACCAGTTTTGGAAAATATTTAATGCAAATCCGACATTGACCATAATTTGACCTACTATTTTGGATAAATGTTAATTCTTATTATATAAGTATAGACTCCGTTATCTATCACGTTATACAACATTTAGTTATTATATTGATTATTTTAAGTCAATTTTGGAGTATGAATAAAAGTAAATAATATAATTATAAATTATTTCGCTAATTCGTCCCTAGTTATTATCGCATAATATATAACAAATCCATAAAACATTTTAAGGAAATAAAATTAGAATTTTTTATTTCAGTTTTTCCAAATATTTTTTAAAAAATTATATCATTATCACTTATTTTTTTTAAAAAAAAACACCCAAACGTGTAAGAACTGTCCGCCTTATATTATTGTCGAGTATAAAAAATTGGGTGGGTTATTTTTTTTAAAAAAAAAAGTATGTAGCAAAAAATAAAAAAAAATATTATGAAAAAGAATCAAACGGCCGGATTATGAAAATCCGTTTTTCTAATAAAAAAAAAAATATTCGCCTCCTCCTCCTCCGCGCAGCTGCGACCCGCCTACTTCTCCACGCTGTTGTGCCTCCTCGCCATTGCCCTCTCCTCGCAGCGCCTCCTCCTCCGCCGCGCCTCCTCCGACGCGTCTCCTCCTCCGTCGCCGCGCGAGCCTGCGACCAGCCTCCTCCTCCGCGCGAGCCTGCGACGTAATCCCGAGCCCGTCAACTCTCGTCTTCCGTTCCGTTTTTCAATTGTAATCCCGAGAACGGTACAAGGCTCGAACCCCCATCACGTTTTGGTTTTATTTATCGTTTAGGTTATGTGATTTTTGATGTGTTAATTGTGTTATAAAAAACATATGCAAGCCTTATGAATTTTATGTGTTTAACTCGATTCAATATATATTTGCAATTGGATATCAAAGTGATTGCCGTCACTTTGAATTATTGTCGAACTGCATTTAACATGGTAAATTTCGTGGAATTGGTTTTGGTTTTATGTATCGTTTAGGTTATGTGATTTTTGATGTGTTAATTGTGTTATCAAATGCATATGCGAGCCTTATGAATTTATGTGTTTAATTCGATTCAATATATATTTGCAATTGGATATCAAAGTGATTGCCGTCACTTTGAATTATTGTCGAACTGCATTTAACGTGGTATATTTTGTGGAATTGGTTTTGATTTTATGTATCGTTTAGGTTATGTGATTTTTGATGTGTTAATTGTGTTATCAAATGCATATGCGAGCCTTATGAATTTATGTGTTTAATTCGATTCAATATATATTTGCAATTGGATATCAAAGTGATTGCCGTCACTTTGAATTATTGTCGAACTGCATTTAACGTGGTATATTTTGTGGAATTGGTTTTGGTTTTATGTATCGTTTAGGTTATGTGATTTTTGATGTGTTAATTGTGTTATCAAATGCATATGCGAGCCTTATGAATTTATGTGTTTAATTCGATTCAATATATATTTGCAATTGGATATCAAAGTGATTGCCGTCACTTTGAATTATTGTCGAACTGCATTCAAAGTGATTCAATATATATTTGCAATTGGTTTTGGTTTGAGGTCGTTTCGAGTTGTATATAGGGAGTTATGATTTTTCTAAACTAGGGTTCGTTTCTTTTCATCCAAACAGCTAAATCCAAATAAACAACACAAACAAAAAGCTAATTAACACAAAACCTAATCACCCTTATAATTCCAAATCGGTAACTTGAAAAATTCCACAACGAAGTGACAAATTTTCAACTCTACTACAAATTGTTTCCTTTGCCCAAGTCCATTCGTAATTATTATTGTCTTAGCCTCATTTGGTTGAACAGATTAAAATAACTAAAAAAAATATACCCACGCAAAATTTATTCGCAATATACCCACGCAAAATACCTCAAATTGTTTCCTTTGCCCAAGTCCATTCGTAATTATTAATCGTGGGTATGGTCTTAACAATATACCCACGCAAAGTACTACTAAACAATATATTACAATCTCGATCATTTTTGCAGAAAATGGCATCGTCATCCTCGAACCCTCAACCCTACACCCCACACCCCGACCCCAATGACCCGTCACTTCTATATCTTCAGAACCGCCACCGGTCCAAGGCGGTATATGAGGACGCACCGGGGTTTCGCCACGGCGTGGTTAAGCCACGCCGTGTGGACACCTAGTTTTGGGTTGCCTTGGAGGGCAAAAAGCAGAATGCCCGGACCTGGGAGGTGATCGAGAAGGCCGGCTTCGGGCTTTTGTTTCGGATGGGGCGGGTCCCGACAAACAATGCTCTCATTACATGCCTGCTGGATAGGTGGCGTCCGGAGACGCACACCTTTCACTTCGACTTTGGGGAGGCCACGATCACTCTCCAGGACGTTCAGATACTATTTGACCTCCCCGTCAGCAGGAAAGCGTGATGGGGACAGACCGTACAGCGGACTCCCCAAGAATGGAGAGCCTATTGCGTGGACGCTCTAGGATACCTCCCATATGTACAGGTATATATTTATACCTAAAACTTTTTTTTTCTTATATTAAGTCATGAGTCGTTTTTAGTATATATATAAACGTATTTCAAGGATTTCGGGGACCCGGACTACGACCCCAATACTTGGGACATTTCAGGCCAGTACATGTATTTTAGTAGTCTGGAAGACGAGTGCAAGCGACATCTGAAGGATGGACTCCCTACATCAGAGTATGAGAGGAGGGCGAGAGCCTTGATACTTTGGTGTATTGGGTCCTTCTTCTTCCCCGACCATCGGGCCAACGGAGTCAACCTTTACTGGCTGTCCCTGTTGAATGTCATCGATGTCATTCTAGGGTACAGTTGGGGTGGAGCGCTTCTGACCGGGGTATATAGAGCGCTCTGCGACGTCTATGAGAGGGACAAAAAATATATCAAGAGATGCGTGTAGTTGATTCAGGTAAATTTATTTACTTGTTAAATCCAAATTAATTTTATTTATTATAAATTACAATAATATGTGCTAAAAAATGTATATGTCCATATGTGCAGGTTTGGGCATGGGAACGCATCCCTCATATTCACCCATTCATGAGGAAAACGCATTTCGGCTCTCAGGCTGGTTGTGATATTATTTCGTGTTCAAAATGTTCAATCAAAATTTATAAAAAACCTTCATATTGAAGGATAAGAATAAAAATCCAGCCAAAATAAACGCGATCGCTGGTAAACAAGTTCGTGAGCATCCAAGAGTCGAGCCTAACTTAAAAAAAATAAAAAAAATAAAAAATAAAAAATAAATACATAAACACAGATTCTAAGAATCCGTGTTTATAACCAAAATAAATAAATAAATAAATAAACGGATTCTGAGAATCCGTGTTCTTGTGTAAAACGGATTTTCACAATCCGTGTTAGTTAACACGGATTTTCATAACACGTTTTTAGCTGAATTAATTAAGGGTAATCACGTCATTAAGAAAAGACGGATTCTCAAAATCCGTTTTTCGATCGAAATTAAGGAAAAACGGATTCTGAGAATCCGTGTTTCCTTAAAACACGGATTCTCAGAATCCGGCTGTTTGATTTTTTTCCACACAGTTTTTTTTTTATTTATTTTTGTCCATTTATTTTTTGTTTTTTTTAATTAAATAAATGATTCAATTTGATAACAACTTAAAAGTATTAGATTTAAAATATATTTATAATTTCAATTAGGTAAGTATTTTATCTTTAAAAGTCCTAACACTGGATAATATTCCAAATCTATATAAATTATTTCGAAATACTATAAATTGATACCTTTAATTATGCCGAAACAAAAAAAATTAGCATATATAGGCTATAGGGAGTAAGGGAGGGAAGAGATATAATTTCTACCATATAAATGTATTTTAAGTTATATTACCTTTTTTTTTAATGTCATTTTGGTTTTATCAATAATTAACTAAATAAATGACGTTTTGAATATTTTGTACATAGTTTTTAGGCTGCCTCTTGTTATGCGGTCATTTGACTGCGGATTTCTGTACATTCAAAGTTTTGATTCTATCATATTTCATGTTTTGG